AATATCTAGCTTTAGAACTCCCAACTCTTCACATACTGCTCACTCCTCAATCCACTGCAATCCTACAGTTTATAGTTGTTAACAGTGACCAAGGTCTGCCTGACCCAAGCCATGGTATTTTCAATCTCCTCATACGCAAGCGAAAGCTGGACAATGAATAAGGAAGAAGGAAGAAGAATTCACGCATTCAAATTGTGGTGTTGGTGAAGAATACTGAATACACCAGGGATGCCAGAAGAATGAACCAATCTGTCTTGGAGGAAGAACAGCCAGAATGTTCCTTAGAAACGAGGATGATTTATATAATTTGAGGCTCTCCCGACTCCCACTCCAAGCATCCGTGTCCCACTGTTGGAAATCACTAAATTAGAGCAGTTCAAGCCTATAATAGACCCAAGATAAACTTCTCCTTGGAAGTGAAGATGGTGAGACTTTGTCTCACTTACTTTGGACATGTTATCAGGAGAGACCAGTTCCTGGAGAAGGATATCGTGCTTGGTAAAGTAGAGGGTCATCGAAAAAGAGGAAGACCCTCAACGAGATGGACTGACATGGTGGTTTCAACAATGGGCTCAAACATACCAACGATCATGAAGATGGACAGGACCGGGCAGTGTTTCATTCTATTATACACAGGGTTGCTATGAGTCAGAGCTGACTCAATGGCAACTAACAAGAGTTGTTAAATCCGCTTGTGCCTTTGAGTCCTTCCCTCCCCATTCATTACCTGACAATTTTGAAACACTGATCCTCCTTCTTCGCAATGCTCTTCATCCTTGAACTCCATGACCCTACTTCTCTTAGCCTTTATTCTCTGCCTCTGGCTGCTCTTATGACGTCTTTGGAAGTCCTTCCTTTTCCGCCCTTCCTCTGAACATCCCACCTGGCCTCCCACGCTCAGTATGCACCAGAAGTCAGCAGCTTATTTTCACTTTTCAGAGAAGGTCCCATTTATCAAAAATAGGAATGCTTGAAAATTCAAGATAGGAAATTGATATTTGAATCCCAAGGGAAAGATACAGCCTTATGATTTAAACTGCATTCGGTATGGAACAAAAGGATGTCAGAGAAAACGGGCCTGGCTTTTTCACAGCTCACGCTGTCAGTGTTGGAGAAGGAGCAGCACAAACGCTGAATTCTCAGCTTTTATCCCGGAGGTAGATGAAGATAAATTGTGGGTCACAAGTTGCTCAACTGCCTAAAACATTCTTGCAAGGTAATCTTACCTGCTCCTATTATTGGGCCATTGTCTACACAGGTAAGAGAAAAGCACCTTAGCCTCATTCCTCACTGTGTTCCTAGCACCGCAGCTTGGCTTATGTTATGCTAGCTGCTTTCCTAGTCCTGGAGATAATACATTTTTAAATGAGCAATTCAACAGGAGCTTAGCCAGTCAGGAAAACCCTATTAGAATTACATTGCATACTTGACGTTTGTTGTTGTTATTGGGTGCCGTCGAGTGGATTTCATCCCATAGCGACCCAACAGGACACAGTAGAACTGGCCCATAGGGTTTCCAAGGCTGTAATCTTTACAGGAGCAGATCGCCAGGTCTTTTCTTCTGTGGAGCCACTGGGTGGGTTCAAACCTCCAACCTTGTGTTTAGCAGCCGAGTGCTTAACCGTTGTGCCACCAGGTCTATTTGAGTGGCTTATATCTAAAGAGCCCCATTTTTCAAACTTTTCTTGAGGTTCATGTCACTATCCCGATTCTTGGTCATGAAATCCTCCAATTCATTCTCCATCCCCCAAGAAGGGTTTCACCTGTGGCTGTTACTACTTTGTTCATGTTGGAATGGAAAGGAGGAATTCATTCTGTAGCATCTCCCAGCTCAGCCTTCGTAAAACCCCCAGCCCCTTATTTTTCCTCCTGGTTCTCCAGTCCATGCTTGCACCCACAGAAGAAGCACTGCCCAGCACTCCTCAGGAAAACCAGTCGTCACGGAGGAGGCCATCCTGACTCATGGCGTCCCCCCGTGTGTGTCAGAGTAGAACTGTGCTCCATGGGCTCTCAGTGGCTGACTTTTCAGAAGTAAATCACCAGGCCTTTCTTTCGAGGTGCTTCCGAGTACAACACCCAGTTTGCAACACTCAGGGACTCCAACCAGCACCCCTGGGTGGGGAAGAGAGGAGAAACTGAGGACAGCCTGGTCAGATACCGCCAATAGGGGGCGCCATGTTACGCAGCCCAAGCAGCTGGAAGCCAAGCTCCCAGGAGGAAATCTGTAACCCCCGGTACGATGTCTGCTCTGTCTTCCGCCTAAAGAGAAAGGCTCACATTTTTGGTTCAGAAGAAAGAATCCCAACTGGTCTCAACCCTTTGCTGTCGCAGGAATGATTATTTTATAACGCGAAGGTTTTCCAGAGCATGGTTTCAGTACGTTTGACATTCACCTTATTGTTCTCGGCTTGCACTTCTCGCCGTAAGACACAGAACTTGCAGGTCTAATTCCCAAGCTGGAGCTGATTTATGATTCCTTCATGCAGTTCTATTAATGGCACAAGGCTCCCAATAAACGCTTATTGCATGCAAATGCCACCAAATAAACTGTCGCCAGGATGGTTGCTGCGATGGTGCTGGGTCAGATAAGAAAGCCAGAAAACCGCTGGTGGTAACCACCTCCGCCCCTTCCCACCTGCCTGCTCTACGCCTCCGCATTAACAGGTCTCTGATAAACGACCTTCCATTTCCAAAGAAAGAGACACAGCCACAGTGACACATGCAAAATAATAATAATAACTTGGTGCACATTTGAAAACAATGTGATTTTAAGCCTTTGTTCCTCCCCGACACTCCACCGCTTCACGATGAACTGGGGCTGGAAATCAGATTTTGAAATGGCACTGCAGTGGCCCAAAGGATACCACTGTGCATGTGACAGGTGCCATGAAATGCCCCTTGGTTATATTCACCCACGCCGTCCCCTTCCAACTGCCCGAGTCGTTTATCTGCACCTTGCTTGAGCCACGCCTCACTTTCAGCTCGCTGTTATTAAAAGGTCTTGTGGAAAACTCTTAAATGCTCGAGTAACCCGTAACCCAGGTTCTCATCGTCATCCGTTATCGCTGCTATAGCTGCCGCGGCTCCGGCTCTGACTCACTGTGACCCCACACACAACAGAAGCAAACATTGCCCGGTCGTGTGCTGTCTTCATGATTGTTGGGATGTTTGAGATTATTGCTACAGCCACCGTGTATTTTGAATGCCTTCCCACCTAGGGGGCTCATCTTCCAGCTCTGTATCAGACAACATTCTGATGCGATCCATAGGGTTTTCATTGGCTAATTTTCAGAAGTAGATTGCCAGGCCTTTCTTCCTAGTCTATTAGTCTAGAGGCTCTGCTGAAACCTGTCCACCACGGGTGATCCTGCTGGTGTTTGAAATACCAGTGGCATAGCTTCCAGCATCACAGCAACATGCAAGCCACTGCCGTACAACAGACAGACAGACAGATGGGTGGTGGCTTATCATCACTGCATCCCCCGAAACAGTTAGGTACAGGGTCAGCGTGCAATGCTGTCATTAATGAATGAACTAGCTCTTGCGCTGTGAGGTGCCGCTTACCCTCCCCCGCTGTGAGCCAGCCATCGTCACCACGCGGAAACCAGGGGAATGAGATAGCGGGGTCTCCAGGCTCTGGCCGGGACGCCTGCCTTGGAATTCCTGCTCAGCCCCGATCAATTCTGTAACCGGAGGGGAAGTACTTAGCCTTCTCCAAGCCTCACCTTCCTCACCGTTAGAATGGGATTGATGATCATGGTTCCTGCTGCCTGAATTACTGCTCCTGAAGTCTAGGACCAGGCACGCGGCGGGCACTCAACAGGAAGCAACTGTAATTATTCAAGTCGGCCGACCACCCCTCCAATTGCACAGCGGCATCACAGTTCCAGGGTTTAACCCACCCCTGAGTGGTTGAACTGAAAGACTGCTTTCTTCACCCTAAAAACCCTATGGAGCACAGTTCTACTCTGTAACACATGGGGTCACCATGAGCTGGAACCAACCTGATGGCAACGGGTTTGGTTTTCGGGTTTTTACATTTCAGAATTAATCTCTGCTAGGTTAACTTTTTGTTTTTAATATTTTGTGACTATAAGGGATAATCTGGGACATAGGAAGAAATCTATAGACACTCAGATTAAAGGAATGAAAACAAAGAACCCCTCCATGAGATGGATTGACACAGTAGCTGCCACATCAATGGACTCAAACATACGGAGGACTGTAAAGATGGTGCGGGGCTGGGCGACATTTTGTTCTGTTGTGTATGGAGTTGCCATGAGTCAGAGCTGACTCGACGGCAACAATAACGTATTAAAATATTAACTTAAAGAAACTCTGCACGTTGGTTTGTCCTATGTTTTGACCTGCTATTAGGTGCTTTTGGAATTTTTCTTTTTATCAATGTCTCTGAAGATTTCGGAACCATTTCCAAACCGATAAAACGACACCCAGAGTACTCCCTAGAAGCAAATATGGTGAGACTTCGTCTTGCTGACTTTGGACACGTCATCAGGAAAGCCCAGGCGCTGGAGAAGGACACCATGTTGGGTTGAGGGTCAGTGACAGCGAAGGGAAACCCTCCAGGAGATGAACTGGCACAATGACCTCAACCATGGACTCGGACATAGCGACCATCACGAAGATGGCACAGGAGCGGGCAACGCTTCCTTCTGTTGTGTGTGAGGTAGCCGTGAGTCGGAGCTGACTCAGAGGAGCAGTGAGGGAGGGCACAGGGGGACACTTGACCCTGGCTGCAAGAACAAGGGGGCACCAGATGAGGCGCGGAATGACGTTCCGAGGGGCCACAAATATGAAAGGCGCCCCACTGAGGTAGCCAGACAAGAAGGGAGAGGCATTTCTGCTGACGCATCTCCGCCATCAACGCCTATTCATCTACACCCATGAGCTGACTTGTCAACAACGACCAACAACAATGAGGATCAGAGGACAACGCCACTCAGCCACTGTCCAGACACACACTCTTCACACATACGCACCGACACTCCAGTCCATCTCCTCGGCGGCGTCCCCGTAGGCGCCATGCTGACTCTTGCCGGTGAAGTCCTTGGAGGAGAAGAGGGCCGTGTGCACATGCAGGTAGGACAGGACAAGCAGGAAGGATGTCTCGGCATTCCTGCAAACAGAGGCCACGGGCAGTGTGAGCACATGAGCTACCCTGCTGATCAGGAGCCGTCTGCTCCCGTGCGACGCCACTCAGCAATTCCAAAAAGACCACAAAACCATACTCAACATTTTAGATTTTGTTCACAGGATGGCAGATCTCCACAGTGGCCCTCTGAAGCAGCTTACTGCTACCCTCTGAGAATCAGCAGATGGAAGGACTACATCACTGCAACGTGCTTAGACGTCACAACCAAAACCAAACCATCACCGTGGAGTTGATTCTGATTCATAGCGACCTTGTAGGACAGAGTAGAACTGCCCCAGAGAGATTCCAAGGCTGTAAATCTCCGCGGAAGCAGACTGCCACATCTTTCTCCTGCAGAGTCGCTGGTGGTTTTAAACTGCCAACCTCTCGGTTAGCAGTCGAGTGCCTTAAGCACTTCACCACCCGGGCTCCTGAGATGACACAAGGCAGGCAGAAATATATGGGAAATCGTTTGCTTTTCTGGATTCTATTCTTCCCTCTATACAGTGATTGCTGTGAAGTTAAGCACCTTCCAAATAGTGTTCTAGTATCTCTGGTATTCTCTTTGGAAAAAAAATTATACAGGTACAGATACGTGTATATACATATGTGTATATATATACAACCACGACTATATAAATACAGGGTCACTATGAACAGGAATCAACTCTATGGCAACAGGTTTTAGTATATGTCCATATCTACATAAACACCCATATTCATTACCGTATCCATATCTGTATCCAAATCCATGACTACACCTGTATCCATCAGGAGTCCTGGTGGTGCAGTAGTTAAGCACTCAGCTGCTAATGGAAAGGTTGGTGATTTGAACTTGCCTGCTATGCCATAAAAGGAAGATGTGGCAGTCTGCTTCCATAAAGATTACAACCTAGGAAACCCTACCTGGAAGTTCTACTCTGTCCTATAGGGTTGCTAAGAGTCAGAATCAATTCGACAGCAACTGGTATCTCTATCTCTAGCCCTCTACCTATCCATCTGTCTGTCTATCTCTTTATCCATCCATCTATCCGTCTATCTACCCACCTACCTATTGTTGGTTGCCTTCAAGTTGATTCCCACTCTTAGTGACCCCATATGTGCAGAGTAGAACTGCTCCATGGGGTTGTCAAGGCTATGACCATTGAGAAGCAGATCACCAGGCGTGTCTTCATGGTGCCTCTGGGTGGGTTTGAAGCACCAACCCTCCACTTAGTAGTTGAGCACTTAACCATTTGTGCGCCAGGGAGCTATCTATACTATCCTCTATTAAAGACAGTATGTTCAGTTGCCAATTCTTATATCAGCCCATTTTCAACACTAATTCTCCTTTGCGTTCCCCGGTAACACTCATTTTCCAGTATATACAAATCTTCCAGAATAACCACTAAATTACCAACACTGAAATTTCATTTCAGAAATGAAATGGATTATGGCCCAAACCCGCATATTTTCGTCTAGAGAAATGAATGCTACTGTAAGAGTATTCTGTAATTAAGAGCAAACCTAAACCTACGTAGCTGTCATTGGTGAAAACACACACACACCTGCTAGAACGTTCTAAGTCGCCCCTGTCAACATTTGGCCCTTGCTACAGCACCGTAAGCGTGCTTACTGCAGGAAGGCCTGAGGTTTCACCCCCAAGTCGGCTGATGGGGTCAGGGAGTCACACCACATATTCTGTACGTCACAGCGACCTCTGAGACATACACGTTCTACTGTGTTCCGGTTATACATGATAGGCTCAGCCTTTAACCTTTCTCCTTGGAAACCAAAACCAAATCCCGTGGCCGCCGAGTTGATTCCAAGTCATGGCGACCCCCCTGTGTTACAAAGCAGAACCGAGCTCTAAGGAGTTTTTTTGGCTGTCACCTTAATGGAAGCAGATGGCCAGGCCTTTCTTTCGTGGCACCGCTGGGTGCGTTCCAACCACCAACCTTTAAGTTAGCAGTGGAGTACAAACTGTTTGCACCACCCAGAGACCTCTTGTCCAGGAAAACACCATCAATTCCTTTCACGCTACGAGGGAACGGCAAGTGAGCAGCTTCCTGAGGGTATGGGGGCTCAAGGAGCGCGCCTGTCTCTGGGGGCAGTGGGCGCAGCTCTCAGCAGCACGGGGAACTGGCCCACCTCTGGGGGCAGTGGGTGTGTAGCTCCCTGGAGACCTTGCAAGAAGCCACTGCTTAGAGAAGCCCCGCCTTAACAGTGGCCTTGGCTGCACTGCCACAGCCCACACCTTGCCCCAACCCTGGTTCTAGCTCTTCCTTTCACTCCAGGATGGATTCCTTAAATCTCTCAGCCTCACGCTCATCTTCCCAAAGTGAAGAGCTCCAAATCGGCACTTTCCTGATGCCAATTTGCGCACACACACCCTGAGTGCTCCGCACACCAGACGTGCTAATTTGTCCCTGAGCACGGCTAGCACACACACAGCTCAATGCCGCGCACACAATAAGCCTTCTCTGCCCACGACCTTCTTCCTAAAGTCCCTCAAAAGCCACCTTAAAGACTATCTCCTCTGAGGGGCTTTGCCCCCTCTTGCTGGGGCTTGAGTGCCATGGGATACCTGTCACCAACTGAATACCCAGCCCCCTAGGATAGCATCTAAGAGAGAGCCCCTGGCTGGGGCAGATGGTTAACACATTCGGCCGCTAACCGAAAGGTTGGTGGTTCAAGTCCACACAGAGGCACATCGAAAAAAAGGCCTGGCAATCTAATTCCCCAAATCAGCCACTGAAAACCCTATGGAGCACTGCTCTACTCTGCCTGACTTGGGGTCACGATGAGTTGGAATCCACTCAACCACAACCAGTTTTGAGTGGTCGGACAGCATTGGGCCCTTAGACAGTTCTTCATAAGATTACCAATTAAACCAGTGAAGGAGCAAATGAATGTGTGAATGAAATCCAAGCGTTCGCTTCACCTCACCGCACAAGAAGAGTCTCTACCTTGCCCACTACATTATAAGTGGGGGCAGGTTGTTTAGAGTGTCATGTGGCTGCCCTAACAAATTCCCACACACAGGGCAGCTTAACACTACAGAAATCTATTCTCTCACAGTTCTGGAGGCCATAAATTCAAATTCAAGGTGTTGACACCATCATGCTCTCTCTGAAGGCTCTAAAGTAGGATCCTTCCTTGATTCTCCGCAGTTTCTGGGGGTCGCCAGCAATCCTTGGCTTGTAGACGTATCACTCCAACCTCTACCTCCGTCTTCACGTGGTCGTCTTCCCTGGACATCTGTCACTTTGTCTTTAAATGTGTTCCCCCTCTGTGCGTGCCTCTGGGTTCTTTCTTCCCTTCTTGTAAACACTCTGCTCATTGGATCAGGGCCCCCCCACCCCCACTCCATTATGACCTCATCTTAACTTGATTACATCCACAAAGACCTTCTTTCCTAATAAGGTCATATTCAGAGATATTGGGCGTAAGGACTTCAAAGTATCTTTTGGGGAACACAAGACAGCCCACAACACACATCTTTTACATCTTTCCATCTTTCTGTTCCTGGCACTTGGCACAGTGATTGGCAGGTAGCATGGGATCAATACACGTCTGTGATTGGATGGAATCTCCCATCACTTCTCTCAGCAACTCTACCCAGCAGTGGAGCACACCGAAAGGATTCATCAAGGCAACATGGTTTGTGTAAAAGTTGCTCTAGAGTTGTTGTTGTCGGGTGCCATCAAGTTGAATCCGAATCATAGCGACCTCATGTGACAGAGTAGAACTGCCCCATAGGGTTTTCTAGGCGACCACAGGCTGGAGAAGAGCAAAGATTGTGAGGATGGCGCAGGACTGGGCAGTGTTTCATTCTGTTGTATGTAGGTCGCTGTGAGTCGAAAATGACTCACTGGCACCTAACGAAAACAATAATCTTTGCAGGAGCTGATTGCCAGGTCTTTCTCCCGTGGAGCTGCTGGATGGGTTCAAACTGCTAATCTTTCAGTTAGCAGCCAAGTGCTTAACCATTGCACCACCAGGGCTCCTTCTACTCTAGAGAAGGTACTATTAACTGTATATAACCAACTCCTGATCTCAGTTCTGGTCATTTTGAAGGGGTTATCCCCTAAGCTAACATCTTTGCCAGCCACTAGCACTTTTAAATAAATAATATATTTAGTTAAATCAATTTTACTTTTAGGATATGTTTTAATACCCTAACTCCTCATGATAACTGAAAACATCTCAAAATTAGGTGAAAAAGGAGTGGTGTAGTGTATCAACATAAAGAAAACAAAAATCCTCACAACTGGACCAATAAGTAACATCATGATAAGTGGAGAAAAGATTGAAATGGTCAAAGGATTCATTTTACTTGGATCCACAATCAACACCCATGGAAGCAGCAGTCATCAAAAAATCAGAAAGAAAAAAAATCAGCAGAAATCAAAAGACGCATTGTACTGGGCAAATCTACTGCAAAAGACCTCTTTAAAGTGTTGAACAGCAAAGATGTCATTCTGAGGACTAAGGTGAGCCTGACCCAAGCCATGGTATTTTCAATCACGTCATATGCATGTGAAAGCTGGACAATGAATAAGGAAGACCAAAGAAGAATTGATGCCTTTGAATTATGATGTTGACGAAGAATGTTGAATACACCATGGACTGCCAGAAGAATTAACAAATCTGTCTTGGAAGAAGTACAGCTAGAATACTCCTTAGAAGCAAGGATGGCGAGACTTTGTCTCACGTACTTTGGACATGTTATTACGAGGGATCAATCCCTGGAGAAGGACGTCATACTTGGTAAAATAGAGGGTCAGTGAAAAAGAGGAAGACCTTCAATGAAATGGGTTGACACAGTGATTCCAACAATGGGCTAAAGGATAACAACAATTGTGAGGATGGCGCAGGACCAGGCAGTGCTTCATTCTGTTGTACATAGGGTCGCTATGAATCAGAACCAACTTGACAGCTTCTAACAACAACAACAATATTGCAACTCTAATAACTCTACCTCAAATAAATAAATGGCTGTA